TGGTTCCTTTTTCTGTAGGCATAAAAATCAGGGTTTATTTCTTTTTTCCTTTCTTTCAGTCTATCAGTGATAGACATTTAGGTTATTTGAAAGGTGCCTAGCTCCCAGACTTAGTAATTTTAAATGAAATGCTTTCCGTTATAGCAAACAGGAACCCAATTATTTTATATTGACATATGTAGTTTACTGCCTTTCTCTCTTATTATCATCTAGATACTGGAAAGCAGCTAGTTATTTTCAATTATTTAGCAACCTGCAATAAACATGATTTAGAACCAAAACTCCAAGTATATTTTAAAGCACATTTAATTTTCTAAAGAATGGGTCTTTGCTGTATTGCAGATGATTCAAAGTTTTAGAAATTCATCTCAGCCCTTTAAAGAAGTTTCTAGTTTAACCAGAAATACTTTTTCAGTGGTAAGAGTTCAATCCTGATGAATGTCAATATATGTACACCATCCTTCTAGGTTGCTGCGGCAGCTGTTAGTTAAAAAAAATAGTTGTTTAAAAATGACTGGAAGAAAAAGAAATGATTGTTGTATTTTCTCTCAAATAAAGAAAAATATATGTACTATATTTAAAGTGAAGCTGTTTTCCAAGTAGTGTTTTAAAATGTGGATGGCAAATCTGCCTGAGTTTTGGCAAAACACACTATTTTATTTTTGCAAGGCTCAACTGCCTTTTGAAATTAATAGTAATTTTCTGAAACAAATAAAAAGACCTTTGCAAATAAGAGGTTTTTTTTTTTTTTTAAATCTTGCCAATTAACATTTCTGTAGCACTGATTAAGGTACAAAATTTCTCACATTCACAATCTAGTTAGGAGCAAACTAGTTAGGCAGTTAAAACAAATATCATCACATTAAACCCCAATGAGCCAGAGGAAGAACCATTGTTTAGAGAACTCAGCTGTGTTTTTGAACTCTAAATCCCATGATGTTTTATTTTACACACCAATTCATGAAGATTTATTTAGTTTTTTATTTGTATTTATTTATTTTCTGGTAAAGGGTCTATCTCTGTTGCCCAAGATGGTCTCAAACACCTGAGTGATCCTCCCACCTCAGCATCCCAAAGTGCTAGGAATACAGATTACACGTGTTAGCCACTAAGGCCAGCCGGCAATTTATTTCTTAAATAGCATTTGTCTTTGATTATTCTAAGTACCGGTAACTAAAATAGTCTCAGGTCAGTAGGCACAAAAAAAAAAAAAAAGGAAAAAAATCTTTCTTTTTGCTCAACCATTATTAGGAAAAAATGGATTTTATGTTAAGGGAAAAATGAAATACAGAATCCCTGAAGTGTGTGTGTGTGTGTGTGTGTGTGTGTGTGTGTGTGTGTGTGTGTGTATATGTGTGTGTGTGTATGTGTATGTGTGTGTGTATGTGTGTATGTGTGTGTGTGTGTGTATATGTGTGTGTGTGTGTGTATGTGTGTGTATGTGTGTGTGTATGTGTGTGTGTATATGTGTGTGTGTGTATGTGTATGTGTGTGTATGTGTGTGTGTATGTGTGTGTGTGTATATGTGTGTGTGTGTATGTGTATGTGTGTGTGTATGTGTGTGTGTGTATATGTGTGTATGTGTGTGTGTGTATATGTGTGTGTATATGTGTGTGTGTGTGTGTATGTGTGTATATGTGTGTGTGTATGTGTGTGTGTGTATGTGTGTGTGTGTGTGTGTGTGTGTGTGTGTGTGTAAGGCATGGTTAGTTCAGTTGTCTAAGAGTATATTTTCGCGTAGGTTGTCATCACAATAAAAATTCTGTGTTCACTAAAGTCATACTGACCCATGTGTATATCTTTTTTTTACAAAGAAACCTTCTAAATGCATCATTGGCTCGGAATTCAGACTCCACTCTCAATTTTCAAATTGTTTGTTTGTTTGTTGATTTGTTTGTTTTTGAAAGTCAAAGCCCATTAGTGAAAAAAGGTTGAGATCCCAATTCCCAAAGAGACTCTGAGATCCTACAACTTTGGGCATAAAGAGACATCTTTTCATCTAAAAAAGAAAATAAATTAGACATTTAAGTTTTCCCAGCATACTGCCTGTCCTTACCTATTTTCCATCACAATTTCATTTACTGTAGTCTTTTCTTATCTCTTCAATAAAAATAAAGGCCCACTGATTACATCTGCTGCTTGTCATGCCGTTAGTTACTAAATATTTGTTGACTGAGAATCATTAAATGAACGTTATCACAAGGATATGGAGAAATTTTAAATGACGCAATACATCTTTATACAGAGTGGAATTTTAAAAATCAATGTAAATTGGGAAAAAAAGTTAACAGAGGACATTTTTGCAATAAAAATATGGGCCAGGTAATTTTAGTTTTCTATTTACACAATATTTTTTAAATTACTGGACTTTTAACATTTAAGCATTAAGTCCAAGAACATACAATTTTTAAATGCAATTCTACAAACACATACAGCACAACTTTCAATAATGAGCAATAGTCATTATGACAGTTCACAAATCTAGTTTTCATATAGTCTCTTTTCTATATTTTTATATTTATAGAAACTGTTAATCGGGTTTCATCATAAATGTGGGGGTAGGGAGACCAAATGCAACTATCAGATATTAATGGTAGTTCTTATAGTAGTTGGGTATCTTTACATAAAAATTTAACTTAAACATTCTCAATATCCTCAACCTCTACGTGGAATTTTAAAGAAGAAAACTAGTAAAATAGAATGCCTTGATTATAGGCAGATTTCTAAGTGGTCTAGTAACAAAAAGTCAAGGCAGTGACGGGGAAGTACCTGTGTTTATGTAAAAGAAAAAATTATTAATAACAAACATTATTTAAGTGAGTAGTCTCTTATCCTCAAAATACGTTGAATAATTACCACCACATCAAGCTAATCTGAATTATTAGATCTCATGGTCTTTTACAAAAGTGTCCATGAAATTTTCCAACAACTTCCCAGATACTTCTAATTTTTGGGACTACACCATGAATTATTTTCAGTCCTTAGACCTGTACTTTACAGTAAAGAAGCCAGTAGCTACCAGAGGTGATAGAGCACTTGAAATGAGGCTAGTGCAACTTAGAAACTGAATTTTATATTTTATTTCATCTTAATTAATTTATTAAATTTAAATTTTCAAAGTGTTATTCAAGTCAGTTACTGGAAACCTCTTAATTTTGTTTGGAAAAAAACTGGGTATATGAACATACTTTTAAACTGAAAATTTTATTAAACTTTAAATTAAGTGCAGTCCGCCCTCAGGTTGCACATCTACTGATTCAACCAATCTTAGATTGAAACTATTTGAAAAAGAAAAATGGATGGTTGCATCTGCACTGAACACTGAAACAGCCTTTTTTTCTTGTTATTATTCCATAAACAATATAGTATAACAAGTATTTATACAACATTTACATTGTATTAGGTACTGTAAATAATCTAGACATAATTGAAAGTATAAGAGAACATGCATCTAGGTTATATGCAAATACCACATCATTTTATACAAGAGATTTAAGCATCCTTGGATTTTGGTATCCACGAGAAGTTGTAGAACAAGTCCCCTAATGATACTGAAAGATTACTGTATTTGCAATGAAAACTTACTATCTGAATTAAGACTTGCTGTACCCAGATTTCAAAGATGTGGTATAATAAAAGAATAAAAATCTCATCAATAAAATTTACATTGATTAAATATTAAAAAGATAATATTTTTATATCCTAGGTAAATATAATTTATTATTATTAACTTTTATTATACTGTTCTCTTTTCACTTTTTTAATATTGTTACTAAAATTTCTGAATCACATAAGTTGCTTGCATTTTATTTCTGTAGGACAGTGCTGTCTTAGACAACGCATATTAATGTAAAACCCAAAGTTTTGTTAAGTCAAGTTCCTTTAAGAATAATTTACATTGCATCAAAATTTGTTCTATATACATGTACAGTTCTATAAATTTTGATTAATTCATACAGTCAGGTAACTAGCACCACAATCATGATATGAAACATTTTCACTATCCCCAAAAGTTCCCTCATGTCCCTTTGTAATCAACCTTTACCCACTACCCCAATCCCTGACAACAATGATCTGTTTTCTGTCCCTACAGTTTTGCTGTTTCTAAAATGCCATAGAAGTTTAATAATACAGCATATAGACTTTTGAACCCAGTGAAATCAAATTTTAAATATTATACCATTCTATGGTATTAAAGGATTATGATCATTTTGATATTCCTTTTCCTTGTATCAAGAACCTTTACCAAGGCCTGTTTTTTTCCAGTTATTCCACTTTCAAAACTGAACTTTCTTCCTTGTCATCATTCTAGTAATGTATTTACCCTTCAAGAATAAAACCTAGTAGATTGTATTACAGTTATTTACATTACAGTCCTTCCTCCCACCAGACTCTAAGCTAGAAACCTGACTTTGCTTTCCATAGCATTAACTCTGTCTAGTGCAGTTAACAGTGCAAATGACGAGGCTGAGAAGAGATTTCCCATTGTGTTCTAAAACAAGGTAAAGGAAAAAAAGAAATGAGTGATGGAGGTTACTCACCAGATTAGCTATCTCCGAAATTTTATTGAAGTCTCCGAAAAGAGTATAAGGCTATACAGAGGATCCAAGAACTATGATTCCAGCCAGCCAGGTGTGAATGCTAGTGGAGCTTTAACTATGCCAGTATTTTTACCTGGATTGCTACTTGTTTTGTCATAGCTTGCTAACAAAGTTGAGTAAATTTGGAGTTGTCTTCCTAATAGCATTTTTCTCATAAACCTTGTTATTTCTAGTACATGATTTTACAGAACAGAAAGTCAAGAATACACGTATCATATTATAACAGAAACAGCTGCACCACACAAAGAGCTTAATAAATTAGAAGGTTCTATCTGAAAAGTCTGATATTTATTTGCAATCATTAATGTCCGTATGGTTAAATATATGAAATATAAGAAATATATGTATTAAATAGTTAATAAGATATCACTATTTAGTTCAATGCTTTCAAGTACTTACTAAAATCTCCAGTAAGAAAAACTCCTTCTGCTCCCGGGGCCCATTCTTTGCAGTATAAACCACCATCAGCACATCTGTGGACGCCAAATGATTCATAGCCTCTGGAAAACTTATCAATACCACCTTCGTTTTCTCCAATGTTGTTCAAAATTTGGCTAAACTGTTTATACCTTTGAAGAAGTGTGAAAGAAAATAAGTTAGAAAATTAAATAGTCTTCTAGAAAAGCTACTGTAATTAACTGCTTTCGTCTTACTTAGGGAAAAAAAGGACATTATTAAAGAGGAATAATATAAATAATTTCATTTATTAGTAGAGGTTACCTGGTAGGATAAAATCACTCTTATTTAAAATAAACTGAGCTAATCTAACTAGCATTTTTGGTAACTTCAAGCACTGGTATGAGAGACGAAACATGATGGTTATACTATTTCATGAATTTTTTAAAAACTAGCATTATAGCAACTTCCATGTCAAGACAGTGTAATGAAACAGAATCTCTACATCTCTCTCCTCTGATTCCTAAGGAAATGAAATAACACAGTCAAAATTCAGCAAGAAAAATAAAATTAGCCTACTGCAGGGTTTGGCAAACTTTTCCTGTTAAGGGGCAGACGGCAAATATTTTAGGCGTTGTCAGCCATATGGTCTCTGTCACAGCTACTCAAGGATGCCTCTGAAGCATGAAAGGGGCCACGGACAAAAAGTTAATGAGTGGGTGTGGCTGTGTTCCAGTAACACTTTATTTACAAAACCGGGTGGTGGGCCAGATTTGGCCTGCAGCCTTTTCCTTCCCTAAAGCAACTGAGCATGGCAAGAACATACATCATATCAAAGTACAAAAGCCAGTGGCCACAAGAAGAAATCACAGATTCCTAAGCAGGACCAAGAACAGCGCATGCCTGCTCCTGATCCTTTCCCAGTTCCCCTATATCAGGTACCGGTACACCAAAATTACTACCCTATTTTCATTGGTATCCCCTATATCCAGTAAGAAACAAACTAGGAAAAACTTGGTAAAACTGGAGAACTAAACCATGTGGCTGGTGCTCTATGTCAGAAGTGAAGGTTCCAGAACTATACAAAATTGTATACAATATTATATACAATACTATACAAGCCAATAGGCTTCTCTATACCTCCCCATACCCTCAGGGCTAAGCAATCTTGCCCTGAAAGATGGCAGGAATCTAGGTACGGGATATCCAGGGAATATACAAAATTTGAGATGCAGAATAATGAACAATATCTCAACTTAGCTACATAGAAAATTGACCTTTTTACAAATGTTTCACATTATACAACTTAATTAAAAATAAACTCAAAAGAATAAGAGCTGAAAGATTATACGACAAGAGAATGAAAAGTAAAAGACTGTAGACTTAACGAAATAAATGGAGGAATAAAGTATATCAATAGATAATGATGAATAAGTTTAGACTCAGCAAAAAAAAAGTACATAGTATAGCAAAAATAGCAAATTATTAAATGAATAAATAATTGAGAATTGAAATAATTTAAGAAAAACAATGAATTTGAATATATTAAAGAGAACCTAAGAGACACCCAACATAGACAAAAAAAATATGATCCAAATATGGATAGCTGCTGACTGAAAAATAAAACTAAATAAAATGAATATAGATGGAATAAAACTGGAAAATTTTCCTAAAGAATTAAATCCACATGTTAAAAAGAGCATACAATTTTTTAAGAAAAGTTTGGGAAACAAACACACACAAAATATATTCCAATTTAAGCAACTGAAATTCAAAAGATAAAAGAAATGAGTCTATAGACAACCAGGCAGAAAAAGGCAACATCAATTAAAAACCAAAAGATAAAACCAACTCCACACAATTCTAAGAAGGAAAAGTAGTAATCTAGAAATATCCTAGGAGACAAGTTTCTATTCATATCTAAAGAATTTTTTAAAATACTGTCAAATTTAAAATTGAGTTTTAGTCAATGACACTAATGAACCATTCTTGAAGAAAAATAAGCTACTTTCCATTTTTCTAAATGGCAATTAAAAATTAAAAACAAACACAAGAACGAACAGTTATTGTAGGAGTGTGTCTAAGAACTGACTCCTTAAATATAGAACCTTGGCTAGACAATCGTGGAACTGTGTGAATGTGATCATGAAAAGGGATCTCAGCTGACAAAGTAAAAACATTGTATTTAAAAAAAGAGATGAGTGAAAGGAGGATGAAATTTTATAGCAGAGAATCACTCAACACAGAGTAAAATTTAAGGTTGTCATCATTATACTCTTTCATGTCTTTATTAATCTTAGACGAGCACTGAAATAAAACTTTACAGTAAAGAAAGTTGTATATGAATTCCAATAATTTCTTCTTTTCATTTCACTTTAATTTCATTGTTTAAATTAAAGTTAACATTTATTTTTTCATGTCTCATTATAGTATTTCTATCAAGCATTTTCTCTAACCTTCCATCTAAAGATAGGCATATAAAAATATCAAGAATTATATACCCTTAATATCAGTGAGGATTATTTTGGTGACGTTTCTTTTTACTTTCTCCATTGCATTGTTCTAATTATGTATAACAAATAACTACCATTTAAAGAAAAATGAAGTACAGTTTTCCTAAAACTATAATTTTTCACATAATTAAAACAGCAACATAATTTTATATAATAGTTATAGGAATTTTACTGAGTATGTAAAACTAGGTTTATAAAATTTGAGGAACTTAAATCATTTGAAATAGATCTATGGAGCAAATCCGAGTTTCTGAAAGAGTATTAAGCCGAAGTAAAAATTCAATATGTGATGAAAGGGCATTTCAAAACAGTAAGAAAAGGATAGCTTATTCAATAAAATATTGAAATCTATAAGTCTGTCATAAAAAGTAGATCTCTAAAACAAAATAACTTACAGAGAGATCAGACTTGTAAACTTTAATATTTTAAAAATAAGTCCAAGTGTTCATGGAAAATGAAGCACAGGTAGCCAATAAACATTAGAAACAATGATCAAATTCATATATAACTAAAGAAGTGCAAACCTAAACTTCAAAATTCAATTTTCCACCTAAAAGACCCAGAAACATATGATAGTCTATACGGATGGGATATGGTTCAGGAGAAAAGACATTTTCAAATGCTCTTGGTTGAAATATCAATTAGAAAACAATTTGACAACAGCTTTGAAAATTTCAAAATCACACTCTTCAAGTAAGTAACTCCATTTTTAGAAATCTGTCCTTTGGATATACATCACACAAAGATGCAAAGACATCTATGTATACAATACTATTTATTCTTTATGGCATTATTTATAATACAAAACCATGGAAAATAACCTACCTTTGCAACAATGGGAAACTAGGTGAATGAACTGTGGAATATCCAAATGATAAATTATATGACAACCATAAAAATAATGAAGTAGGGCAAAATGTGCTGATATGGAATCCTGCCCGAAATAATCCCAGTCTCACAAGATAGTTTTTATTCAAGGGGACATAAACTGAACCACCCAAATGAGCCAGGCCGGTGTAACAAATATGAGGAGCTGACAACACACAAGAAACACAAAATTGCAAAGTTGATGATAAAATAATTAAGGAAAACAAAGCAGAAACTGTTGAGATGGAAAGTACAAGCCTCATCTAATAGCACAGCCTCTATTTAATAGTTACAGCTCATTGTTACGTAGCATATTTTATCCAATCATGTAATTATTCAAGAATATTAAAAAATACAGATTTTTCTATGAAGTCTTCCTAATGTAAACAGTGGCAACTGCTTCAAAATACTTAAAATACTTACCTAGACAAACAAACTAGATATGCAGGCCTGATGGAACACCATATGCAAACTCTTTAAATCATATGAGAAAATGTTCTGTGTGTGTGTGGTTTTTTTAACCTCTTCCAGATATCAGTCAGCTATACTTCTTGGAATATGGAAATGATAATCCATATTAAATTATATAAGTAATAACAGGCAATAAAATGATCAAACAATGTAGAACAATCAACAAAACAAAAATTGAACTTAGGGTAAAAGATATACACACACATACACCCTCGTAATAAAAGGAAAACTACTGATTTTCCAAAAAGGTATAACATTGGGAGGGTAAACAAATGTAATCATTTTACTTTCAATGTTGGTATAATACCTTACGATAAACTTTCAGATTTATGTAAAGTTTAAGTTTAAAAAATAATCATTTTCTAAAAAAGTTTCTTAAAGTATTTTCAAATGTCCCATTTAGTAAAATTTCAATGGAAACACGATTATAGCATTATATTACTTTAAGTATCTTGACTTCCCTCAAGGTCAGCCCTACAGCTTCTGATACAGAAATACACATTGCACTTTGAAATCACTGTGGCTCAAAAAGGAAAATGCCTGAGGATACAGCAAGCTCATCATGCCTGTGCCCTCTCCTACTATAGTCATCTCTCTTAATATTTTGCTATGAATTTAGAGGATATTTAAAAACTAGGTCAAATTTTTGGTAACCAAGAAGATAAAATGAAATTAGTATAGGAACTAGCATTTTGTATAGATATAAAGAACTGTTACAAAAATTATCATATGTGACCTCTATATCAATGTTTTAAACCCTCTGCTACATAGGAAGAGACAGAGGCAAACATAAATAAATAAATTGTCTAAGATCAAGAAGGTAATAAGCAATAAGGACATCACATCATTAATCACAAAAGGTAGATTTCAAGTTAAATCTCAAATTAAAAGTCATATTTCACTTTTAAAGAAAGTTATTTATGTTTTACTCTTAAGGTAATTAATCTTATAATTCTATTTAATCTTATAATTATATTTAATTAATTTAATCTTATAATTAAGAGAATCAGGGGTAGCTGATATTAGCTTTACTTCCAGAAATAGTCTACTTTCAAGTCCAGACTCACATACACCATATGTGACTCTGAACAAGTCCCTTCATCTCCTTTTTCCTGATTTTCTTAACACATTAACTGGGGGCTCGAGGGAACCTCACAGATTTTAAGGAATCAATGAAACACAGTAGGAGCATTCCCCACAGCGTTCAATAAATGGTAGCTGGAACTTTTCTCCACCTTGAAGTGGTAACACTATAGTGTACTTTTACTTTATCAATTTTCTTTTACTTATTACACTTGCTTAGATTTTAAAACACATATTAG